ACTGAAAGTTAAGATGGCAAAATTAACCCAAATTTAAAAATACTAGAATTTTTTTGCAACACACTAACACTTGTTGAAATCCTCACAGTATTCAGCATTGTTGAAGTTATTGCTAACATTTTTTGTTGATATTTGCAAACTGTTTCATTTAATTTCACAATCCAATCAAAATTTGAATAAGCCAATTTATTTAATAATTTCTTTTAATAGGACTTCATGGTGAGCAATATTTTTTAAAATTTCGTTTTTTCCTTTTCAACAGTGAAGAATAAATTCTTAGGATTTCTTACTCTTGAGAATTTAATATACAACTGGTCATGCATAGATATATTTCTTTCTGGAGCCAAATTCCAGCTTTTTGAAATGTTTGGCCTTGTGATTTGTTTATAGTTCTTGCAAATGCAGAGTGAACTGGAAACTGGATTTTTTATATATATATATATATATATATATTTAGGCAGCAATTCTTTCATGCAATAAACTATTCCTTATTAAACAGTTGAGATATTTCATCCTTGAAAATGGCTAAATGTATAGCTGAAAGTGCTCAGATTAAAAGAACATTCAGTTTTTATATAATTTATCTGAAAAGAAAATTAGATCGCATGTGAAATTGTATAAAAAACTAAATCAAAGCAGCTTGTCTGTTGTATTCAATGAAATGTGCTTATATATATATATATATAAACTTAAAATATTTAATAAGAATGCAATATTGTTTTTTTTGCATAAGTATTTGTTGATTTTATTTTAATCATTAAATTGTTTTTAAAATTGTTGGGGTATTTTGTATGTTAAATAATAAAACTTAATTTTTCAAAAAAATATTAATGAAAATTTATTGTATTAACTACACACCTTAGAAAAATCAATTGTACGTTGTATATGTTTATCTCTAAAATTTTGTTTTGAGAAGTCAATGTATGGCTTTTTAGAGGATGTGACAGACTAACAGATATTGTATATACAAGATAATATAACAAAAAACATGAAATTGCTACACAATAGATTGTGTTTTGCCTGAAGAGGTACAATGTAGTTCCAAAACATGAAAGTATAACATGAAGCTATTATGTAGCAATTTCAATATTTGTTATATCTTATAATAAAATAATATTGCTCTACTTTGTATTGAGCACTTTTTTTTTTTTTAAAAGTAAATGCTATGAACAGCAGAATTTTACTTTATTTGTTCTTTCTCTCAGTTGTGTGCATATATCAGAAATAGGTTAATTACTGTTTTAAAATACTTAAATCAATATTTATTGGATTAGAATTTACCCACTTGTAAAACATTTGACCAAAAGTCAGAATGAAGGCAATGTTAATTTAAATAAAAAAAAAAAAAATAAAAAAAAAAAAAATAATAAATATCAGGTGGTCTAGAACTGAATGCAACGAGTAACATCAAATTTGATTATATGTAACAGTACCTTGTGGGTCGTTTGGAGCCAAATTGTGTTGTAAACATTTATGATTCATCAAGTATGGTTGAAGGAAAAATTTTCCTAAGTATCGTAGAAAAGAAATTTTGTTCATCAAGAATGATTAAAGGTAATTTTGTTTGTGTAAACACTTATAAACATTTTTTTTATATTATATTTTATTGTAAAGTCCAATCTTTGGCAATATGTTATCTGGTTTCAGGTTTTCAAAAGTTCTAAGATTTTTCATTCTGTAATACTCATTTTGGATTTCCTGGAAGCTGTAACATTCCAACAGTATGTACCTGACTGTATATGACTCCTAACATGGTACACATTGGTAGGATTTCATTTCTCTATAAATGTAAATATATATATATATATATATATATATATATATACACACAATAGAGAGAGCCTGGCAAGAATCACTAATGATTGGCTGAATATTGTGGAATTTATTATGAAAGTTCTAGGATAACTTGCCATTTTTCTTTAATAATCTTATTGATAGTTGGCTGGTGATTTTAAAAAGTGTTCAATATTTTTCATTTAGAAAGTCAGGAATCAAGCAGAGTAATAAGGAAGTGTTCAGATAAGATATGATTCTAAATGTAGAAAGAATTTTCCATCTTGAAGATGGATCATTGAGGATTTGATTATAGTGAAAGCAAAAATTCATTGTATTATCATTCCCAAATTAATCTTTAATTTAAAGATTAGTCACTACAGAGACAAGCCTTTGAGAACTATATTATTCTAAGAATTTTTTTTTGTACTGACCAAAAACTATTTTTAGATTGCATGAAGAATATTGTGAGCATATTGTATAAAAGCATGTGTTTTGAAAGAAGCATCAGTTTATTTTTGGTTCTAGCATCAATGTTGGAAAAGCAACTTTTTAGTTTATAAAGATTAACATCTTTTATATGCCTCATCTTGTTTCAGGCACTGGATAATTCTGGTTTTCCACTAGTTCTTTTTATTTGTTGTGCAAAGTTACCTGTTATTTAAAGTTTTAAAACTTCATCACCTTAAGAAGCAACACTGATATTCACCTGTTCTAAATTTCCCAACACTCAAATTAATATAGCAGGTACTATCAGGAAGTTGCTTAAAGAAAAAAAGAAAAAAAAGAAAAAAAAAGAAAAGCATACCGTGATGAAAAAAATGCTTGAAACTTAAGTTTTATCGCCAAAATCTTTATTAAAAGGAACAATGAAAGCATTTTTTGATCGTTCCTTTTAATAAAGATTTGTGATAAAACTTTGTTTTGATTAAGTTTGGAACATTTTTTTCATCACAGTATGCTTTTTTCTTTTTAAGCAACTTCCTCAATTTTAAAATGCTATAATATAGGTACCACCATAGAAACATGATACCTAAGGACCAACAACTTTGCTTCCTATATTTCCAGCCCTGTGCCTGGCTAAGCTTACAAAACAAGTTCATTTTATATTTGGATACTTTTGGAAGGAAATCAGTTTTGACAGCATGTGTTTACAAATTGTTTTTTTTTTTTTTTATCATCATCAGTGAATTTATACCAAACAAGTCCTTATCAATTCTTATCTGTATAAGTTTCTTGTAACAACCAAAATTCAGACTATTCCAAATTAGAGCTGGGCATCACCACAAGTCAAGATAAAAAGAAATCAAAACAGGAAGACAAAATTTTTTGAAAACTGCAACAAAAACTTTAATTTATTCAATTGTTAAGAACTAACTGGTGAATATATAAAAAGATTTTGTACAGAATTGAAGTTTTATACACAAAATGATGGCATCAAATTTCATGTACATGCTATGGACAGTTATTTCCCAACACCTGAGATACATGCTCATGTGTTTTGTTTTTTTCTTTTTTAAATTTTTATTTTTGAGCATGCATTTTTCAGTAAACTCATTTAGTGAAAGCATTTCTGTACCAAAATACAAAACTAGACCAGTAAATAGTCAGTGCCTACAGTTATAGATTAGTTTGGGTTAAAACAAAAACTGTTAGGCATATAGGCACTGCCATTTTTCATCTCATTGCAAGACACTTTAAATTTTGCATATTAATACAAGGTCTACCCTTGAATAGATAAGAACAAAGGCATTCACCTTTGTTTTAAAAGTTTGTAAGGGTAAGAAATTTGAATAAGAATGTCCTCACAAAATTCCAAGCAATTTGACAATACAATGAGAATTTTTTTTTTTATAAATTTTATTTTTTCAAAAATCTGCCAGCCAAACATTTTCTTTAAACATGCAACAGGAAACCACACCACATTCAAAGCAGAAACAGTGAACCTCTGTGTACAGTGTAAAAAGTTTAACCCAGTGGTCATGTACATGAAACAAAAGTAAATATTTTATCAAAAACTTTGCACTATAAGCCTTATAGTTAAGATATCTTAAAAAAATAGAATTGTTTTTTTTTTTTCAGTTTTTTTAATTGAAAATTTTTTGCTTCATACTTGACATCTTTCTCCACAAGAAGCAACTATTAGTAACATTTCTAAATGAATTCTTCAGGTCACCAATTCTGCAATCTATTTCAGCAAAGCTTACAACTAAGAGGAAGAGAAGAAAAAAAAACTCCAATTACCCAATCAAGTAGTGTTAAGCTTAAGAAAATTCACCAGGTTAGACCAAAGAAATTGTAGTGTTTATATAAGTGTCAGGTTAGCTACATAAACAGAAATCCCTTTCCCCTCGAAATTGCTCTAGATAATAGGTAAGACTACATTATTCCAATAATTGAGAGCAAAATTAGATTAAATCTATTTTTTTATCTAACAAATTCCGACAAATGTTTGTATTAACTGCAGAGTAGAAAAACGAATTATAACTAGCTCCAAATGACAATTTGAAAGAAAACGTTTATATAGATAATTATTTGCTGCGTGTAAATATTTGCATCCACCCTAAACAGAAAGAAATATATAATTTAAGGCTAAGAGTTAAATTAAGAGATCCTTAAAAACGAAACTGTTATATCAGAAAAGGGATAAGTACAACAGAATACACTATGAGATTTTCATGAATTCAAATGCTGACAATAGATAAAAGCCATTGACATGCACAGTGAAATTTATTGCCTTTTAAATTTTAGAAAAAGTTAATGTGAAATTCTAGATTTTTAATAACAGACCTTGTGACACTTGGTAGTAATTTGAGTATTAGCAGAATACTTAGAAAAATAAAGTCCAAAAGTTAAAAAACCAAGCATCAATTAAAAATAAAGCTTAGAATAGTGACCCCCAGATCCCAATAATTTTAATTTAATTTTTTTTTTTTAACAATAAAGCAAAAAAAAAAAAAAAAAAAAAAAAAAAAAAAAAAAAAAAAAAAAAAAAAAAAAAAAAAAAAACAGCTAGTTTAACAAAAGATGTAAATAAAAAGAAATGTCCTGTTCCACTGTTTTTACTTTCTCTCCAACTAAATTTTCTCAATTTCAAAAATCTGTCAAATACTAAAGAGATAACTTAAAGTTTATGGGAGAGCTTCATTCAACTTATACTTCTGCAAACATTCCAAATCCATCTTCTAAATTGGCAGACCAATAAAGAAGGTTTGTTTTTATCCGAC